GATGGAGTGAGCTCCCATCTCTAGTTCCAGCTCCTGCCAACCTAGCCGTTCGAAAGCAAGAAATTGCAAGTAGATAAATAGGTACCACTTCGGTGGGAAGGGAACAGCATTCCGTGCCCCTTGGTGTTTAGTCATGCCGGCCACATGACCACGGAAACATCTTCGGACAGCGCTGGCTCTTTGGCTTTGAAACGGAGATGAGCACTGCAACCCTAGAGTCGGATTCAACTGGCTTTCGAGCAAGGGAACCTTTACCTTTACTTTGACCAATTTTAAAAAATTTGCAAATGGGTGCTAGCATGGTGTCAAAACTGCTGTGTCAAGCAGTTTCGCAGATAAGCGTACATGAATTTATTTTTGCAAACATCGCTTTTCTTTCCATTCTTGCAGCAGTACCTGTGCATGCAAATGAAAATGTTTGCTAATACTGAGAAAAGCGTGTCCAGTTTTTATTAGTAGAGCTCTCATTCAGCTGTAAATATAACCCTAACATCTGATTACCTATTAAATAAGGATCAACCAAAACTTTTTCCCATTTTGTACATGTAATTTTTGTTTGTCAAAGAGTGCATCTCACTTGTTCTGAAGAAATTCACATTATTTTGATACTGTTCTTTTCTGTGCCACTTCGTTGCCCTTTGCTCTCAGGGTCGTTTACTTTCACACAGCTATTTAATGCTGTTGGTTGCGGTGACTCTTGTGATTTTGCCAGTGACATCATGGTGCTTCAACTGACATCATGTTGTCATGGATGCTTGTAAACAAAGTCACGTGGGCTGGCACAGCCAGTCCTATTATACAGCAGCGAGGGTAAATGAGGACAAAGAAGCAGGGTAATGATGCCAATAAGAAGCAGCAGCCAGGCAAACACAAGTGTGCCAAGCAGCATCAAAACAACACAACTGTTCAATACAAGTAAGTATTTTGTCCAGCAATCTGATTGGCTCCCAAGTGTGCTTTTTAAAAAAGCATAGCTTGAAATTAAAGGATATTCAGCACAGCCTTGTTCTAGGCAGTTTAGCCACATCTTCACAAAGAGCGGTAAAAGGGTAAGTGGTTGTGAATCACTCCTCGAAGCTATAATAATTTTCCCCTCCAAAAAGAGACCTGTTCTTGGCTCCCTGATTGTTTGCTCCCACATTATGAAGCAGAGAGAAGAGGAAGCTTCTTTTTAATGAACTGTAAATAGTGATGGACAGAGGTCGATTTGGGGGGAATCGCGAGGGAACGCAGTTCCCCGGGTGAGATGCGGGGAGGCGGGGCACATGATGAAGCCCCACCCCCCGCTTCCGGCCGCCCCGCTCCCAGACCTCATTCAGCCAGGAGGAGGCAGGAGAAGAGGGAGGGTAAGTTGCTTCCTCCCCGCCTCTCCCCACCCCTGCCTGCCTGGGGCCAGGGAGGGCCTTGGCGGGGCTTCCTCGCACTCCCGCCGGCCTTGCAGGTCCACCGCCGGGCCTTATGACACACTTCCAGTGATGTCAGGGGGTGTGGCATATGCTAATGAGTTATGCTAATGAGTTCCCCTAGCTCTTTTTCTACGAAATGACCCCTGGTGATGGACAAAAACTTCAACCGCCTCCCATATCAATTTGAAGTGGTCTTATTTATTTAAAATTCTTCTGTTTAAGGTATCACTCCAAAGTTCAGAATTTTAGCTTCTGGTGTCACCATAGGGAATGTGACAGGCCCTGGAAGACCGTGAGACACGTGGATCCATGGGTGAGCACATGAAACTGCCTTTGGCTGTTGACTGGTCTAATTAAAAACCTTTGAGTATAAATTCATCATTATCTGTTTTTGCATGGCCCATAGGGTTGCCAGGTCTCCCCTGGTGGGGGATAGGCTTCACCCCCAAAATATCCAGCAATTTCCCAACCTGGAACTGGCAACTCTAGGCATCCGCCCCCAAACAGCCACATCCCTGCACACTGTCTCCAATGCGATGACATCACCCAGAAGTGATATCATCACATTGGGGATATCTTGTGGAACACTCTGGTTTGAGGGCAAAGCTTTATGGTAAGTGTGGCCTAAAACCATAGAGCTTTGCCCTCAAACCAGAGTGTCACTGCACAACATCGCCAATGTGATGATTTCACTTCTGGGTGATGTCATTGTGTCAGGGATGTCCCAGAATGCCCTCCAAATCACCCTGCTGATACGGCGAGGGGACCTGGCATCAGTGTTCCCTCTAAGCTGAGTGAGTGTGAGCCAGCTCACAGTTTTTTAGCCTCTAGCTCACACATTTTTGTCTTAGCTCAGGAAGGAGGGCTCCAGAGCAAACTATGCAGCAGCCAAATCGCTCGCTCAAACTTTAATGCCAGTAGCTCATAAAGTAGAATTTTTGCTCACAAGACTCCACCGCTCAGAGGGAGCATTGCCTGGCATCCCTGCTTTTGAATGTGTGTGTTAAGGTTGCCAAGTCAGAAACTTACTGCAGCAGGGGACTCCCGGCCGTCGTCTGGAGTGCACGCGCACCGCATCCACGTCACCCAGAAGTGGCGCGGGTACGCCGGGCACACGGGGGGGGGGGCCAGGACCATCCGAGGGAAAACCATAGAGTTTTCCCTCGGATGACCGTGGCCCTGCCCCCAGCGTGCCCGGCGTACCCGCATCACTTCCAGGTGACGTGCACGTGGGGGTGGAGTTCCCCCCGGGGCCCAATCCACCGGCGGTGGGGAATGGGCCTCTGGGGCAGGGGTTTCCCCGCCCCCCGGGGGACTTGGCAAGCCTAGTGTGTGTGTTTTTTTTAATGATCCCTAGCTTGATTTTGTGGCTAGTTTCATTACTGATAATTTTTACTTTTTAAATGTATTGTATTGTGTTGACTTTGTGAGCTGCCTTGAACTGGTCTCCAGAGAGGCACCCTCTACATTTTTCTGAATAAAGAAAAGAAAGTACAACTTGAACTTTCATAAACAGCCTAAATTCAAAAGAAGCCAAATGAAAGTCAACGGGAGCACCTGCCCTCGTACAGTCTGAATAGAGCTCTCTTGTTTAGAATACAGATCTCATATTGTGGTACATCAACCTTGATTTCAGAGTAGAAATGCTGACTCTACGTTGTTATTTCGACAATTTACTCATCTTGATCCATTCCGAAGTAGCACACGGGCAACAGGCTTAGAACAGATTCCTTAGCTAAACAGAAATACATGGAGTTTTGTAATATGCTTCTTCAATTACAGCTGCAGTATTGCTGATTCAGGGTATGACCTACACCACATCTTTTGAATTCAATAAAAGCCCAAGCAGAGTTTATGTAGGCCAAAAGCAGGAGGCTGTCAGGCTGGGAAAAACAACACTCCCCAAAGATTCCTTGTGTCACAAGGTCATGCGGGCCCGCTTGACTTGACTCAGCATTCACCTTTTGCAGTCAATAAAAGCCCAGTGACAAAGAACAAATGAGAATTTAATTCCTCATAGAAATTATCAGACAAGAGGTATAATGCAGACCGTTTGTTCATGAAATACACACATTATCCCGTATTTATAGCATTTTTCCGAAACCTGAGTATAAGTGTCATAAGACATTGTATCAGCTTTTTAAAAAATCATTGCCAGTGATATTTCATAGGATCTTTTCCCATTTTTCAGCATGTTTTCTCCTTAGTAAGTAGGGGGGGGGGTTGTGTGTGTATACTCTCATCTTTCTCCTCTATATTTCAGGTAGAGTTGTCAGCTGCTGCTTGGGAAATACCAGAAGATTTGGGGGTAGAGCCTGGGGAGGTTGGGGTTTGGGAAGATGAGGGGCCTCCGAACAGTATGCTGCCATACAATCTACCTTCCAAAGCATGCCATTTTCTCCAGAGGAACTAATCTCTGTCATCTGGAGATCGGTTGTAATTCCAGGAGATCTCCAGCATCCACCCAGCGGTTCGCAACCTTTATTTCAGGTATTGTAGACAGTGGGTTAGATCCAGGCATCCTTTTCACGCTCTCTCACCCAGTTTCTCTCCTTATTACAGCCTTCATCCCATCTGGCATTTTGTACATGCAGGTCCCACAGTCCCCAGCGAAGCCTCTTAGTTAATCAGATAGGACTCCCTCCTTCCTTTTTCACCAGCAGAAAAGCTGGTGGGATCCAACTCAGTGTTGCTGTACCCAGGATATGTGGAAGGTTGTTGTACCTTTGCTTATTAAATATATGGGATATGCAGGGGTCATTTCCTGCAGGAGTGCACAGGAGCGGAGCTCCGGCAGTAAAGAGCCCAGGGGGTGGGCACATGCAATAAGCCCCACCCCATGCTCCCAGCAGCCCTCAGTCAGAGCAAGAAGCAGCCAGGTAAGTTGTAGAGGGCCCCCCCACCCCCCGGTCCAAAACAGTCCAGTGGCACCTCTAAGACTATGTTTTATTCAGGTACAAGCTCTCCCTCCTCTGTGAGGACAGGTCTGCACGTTCCCCCCCCCAAAAAAAATAGCTACCAATCCTAAACAGTCCAGTGTTGCCTTCTGACACACTTCCGGTGATGTCAGGGGGCGTGGCATATGCAAATAAGTTATGCTAATGAGTTATGCTAATGAGCTCCTGCACCTCTTTTTCTGCGAAATGACCCCTGGGGATATGAAATATTGGACATCATCCGTTCTGCTCCCCCCTCCCCACAAAACACACCTGGAGGCTAGTGTCAGCATCAAGACAGCAGCTGTAGGAGCAATGCAAGAGACCAGAGCTGATATAGCCTGACAAATAGATTGCTGTGTCTTGTTCCCTTTCCACATACATGGCTCTTCACATGCAATCTCGTGTACCCATAGCACCCTGCTTGTGCAGTATTGGCCCCAGATGGTGTTCCATCCGGCCCCGCTGGTGGACCTCCTGATGGCACCTGAGTTTTGGCCACTGTTTGACACAGAGTGTTGGACTGGATGGGCCATTGGCCTGATCCAACAAGGCTTCTCTTATGGTCTTTGTCCCACCATGGGGCCATCGCGGTGGGACCGGCACGTCCCGCGCCACAGCCTTCACGATTTTGGGAACCCATGGACCCCCCGGAAAGCGGTTCCGAGGGGGCGAATACAGTTGTCCCGTCAGTGATGAGCCCAGTCGTCCCGAGAGCTCGGATAGCAGGAGGGCGGGTGAGAGTGCAGGAGAGACGGGGGAACTGGAACTTACCCGAATGAAGAGGGACCGATGCGGTCCTTCAGGCCACCGTACATGAGAACAGGGAGCTTCGGGATTTCTCGGAAGGGACCCCACCCCCGAAGACGCCCAGGACACCCCAACCGGGAGGTGGGCTCGGAAAGAGGGACGGAGATATCACCCTATCAGATGAAGAAAGGGGAGGGGTGGAATTCACCGGGTGGAGGGATATAAATTCGGGGAAGCCAAAAAAGCCGGGGAGGAAGAG